CTAACCCAGGCATCGACCACTGGAATGCCTTGATGCATGTCTTCAGATACATCAAGGGCACGCTCGACTTGGGGATTACATACCGGCGCACACCTACCCGTATCGCAACGCCGATATCCGACAGATTGCTCTCCTACACGGACGCGGATTGGGCAGGTGACAAGGACAAGTTGCGCTCGACATCTGGTACTATCGTCATGCTTGCTGGCGGCGCCGTGTCCTGGATCAGTCGGTTACAAAGTGTTGCTGCTCAATCAACAATGGAGGCCGAGTACATTGCAGGGAGTCACTCCGGTCGTGAACTCATGTTCGTACGCAATCTACTCGGCGAGCTGATGAGCGCTCCGCTGAATCATCCTTCCCCAATGCACTGCGACAATCAATCTGCCATCTCCGTTGCCGAGAATCCTGCGATGCACGACAAGGCAAAACACATCGCATTGAAATACCATTATATTCGCGACCTCGTCGAGCACAACGACGTCACCCTCCACTATTGTGTGTCCGACGCAAACCCCGCCGATCTTCTCACGAAAATCCTCCCGCGCGACGTGACCATCCGATGCCGTCGCATGATTGGCTTGGAATAGTTGGACTGCGAGGTCAGTGGGAGTGTTGTAGTATTGACCTCGCGTCCAATCCGGATGGAGACGCGTCGGGTTGTTTGGTTCGCGGGGTACATGTATTTATCCAAGCCTGTAGCCGATCTCTTCAGTCTGAAGAGAACGGTTACAGGTGCGTAGTATTCTATATCTAATACATCAGTCTGAAGAGAACGGTTACAGTGTGACCTTGACCTCTTGACCTACAACACTTTCGGGGCAGAAAAACTTTTTTTCTTAACTCTTAGATCCCTACTGTATGGCATCCTAGCATGCTATACAAGCCTATTAGATGTGCTTCCAGAGGAAACAGGCTCTGTTGTGACGAATGACAGCGAAATTGGCGAAGATCAAACAATTTGATCGGCGCCGGAATTTCCCGGCAGGTGCACAAAAGGTCAACAAGTGTGAGGTCGCAAGGTACTCTGAAGCCCCTCAGCCGGTGACCCACTCTTCACACTGGACCGGCACGACCTCCAGTTTCAACACACGATCACGGCATCCGGACTTGGTCCGCCGCCGCCGCCGTCCGGACCGTAAAATTCTCGAGGCAATTCGGTTGCTCTGTTCAGAATTGATCCACCCCGTCAGCGTCATTCCCTGGGCAGATGGTGTTGGATTTTATTTTATTTTATTTTATTCTCTTTTCACATCCGAAATTCCAGATCTTGTTAGGCCAAGTCTTGAACTCCCAAATATCACCGTTTGGAATGTGCCTTGACACTTCCATTTACCCAATTCCACTACTTGAATCTTCGTTGAGCATGTTGGAACATTGCCGGAACATCCCGGTGCCCATCAAACAGCTTGATTTGACTGTTCCTTGTTATAGGGGGGCCTGTTTCCACTCAGAGCCATACAACAGGCTGGTATAGTATGCTGGGATGTCACACTAAGGGAATCTGAGGGGTCAAGAAAAAAAGTTTTTATGCCCCGAAAGTTTTTGTCTGCGTTTCCGATACGCAACGTTTGGTACATCATAATCATCAGCCGTTCATCGAGGAAACTTTTGGTGTTCATATTCGGATTCCTGGGGTAGGTTTACACCATAAAAGGGCCTAGGGTGTTTTCGTGACAGATCCGAACCCCCTTGCCTATTACTACCGCTTGCATGGAGTCGCTCATCAAATATATTGACCCACATCTATCACCGGCAAGAGGCATGGGTTGCCATGAGCATGTCGTTCCCCGTTTCTCACATGTCCACGACCACTCCAGAGCTAGATCTGGCTCAATTTCCATCGAATCGACTCGAGGAAGCTTCATTGCAGCTTCAATTCAATGGTGGCTCCAAATATTAGATATTACACTCTGGTTCATATTCTGTGCTATCCAGTCCTCCTTCGTTTTCTTCCCGGACCCCCACAGTATTCGAAGTTGTATCTATCTCATTTCGCACTGGCAGCCGAGGCTGCCGATGTACATGATCTTTGCATCATTTCACAGTCGTTCCTATAGAGGTTTTATTCGAGCTTATCAAGGGCCCGCGATGATCATGTTTGCTCCCCGACGAGCCTTTGACTGGATTGCTGACACGGTCCCATGTTTTCCATTTTTTTCTTCTTCTTAGTGTTGTGTTTGACTGATGGCATCACGGCCACCGGCGTATGCGTGCCGTATTTACACCGTCACGTGCAGTTCTTGCTCCTTTACCTCTTGCTTTACCTTGCCTTTACCTCGACAATCCAGGCTGCAAACAGGCCTGTTCAAGGTTGGGTTTGATCTCAGCTCCTTGAATCGAAGTGCTCACAGCCGCAGCGGCGCAGCTCAAGGGCGCCAGCACGTTAACTCGTCCCCCTTGCTGCTCGAAACTTCTTGCCGACAATCCCACTGGCACTGGCACTGGCAGTAAGTCCCACATCGTCTAAACGCAGAAAGATTTGTAGCTGAGACTCATCCAGAATATCACAAAAGCCTTCCGTAGCTTGTAGCGATGCTTGCTGCCCTCGAAGCCGATCGTGCTCGTGTCGCAGATCTGGGTTTACGAATCTTGGACCTGGAACGTTCTCTGTCCGCATTACGAACCGAACAGGCCTTCGTTCAGGAGCGACTCGATTCATACACGTACCCAGTCTTGACGCTACCAACCGATATCGTCTCCGAAATCTTCATTAATTGCCTACCCGCCTACCCCCTCTGCTCGTACCTTATGAGCTCCCAATCGCCGCCCATACTTCTCAGTCACATCTGCCACGACTGGCGAGAAGTAGCGCTCGCTACTCCTAGGCTCTGGAGGGCAATGAAATTTCCGTCTAGACGTGCTTCGTTCCTTGATCAGGTTGATCTGTGGCTCAGCCGGTCCCGATCTTGCGCGTTGTCAATCGATATAAACGACGGGCCAGGGTTTGGATCGGTCTCCGATGGCATTGCGGCGGTCCTTTCCCACCGCGATCGTTGGGAGCACGCGAAGCTCCGCCTGCATCCCGTCCATTTAAACACGTTTAAAGGCCCGCTGCCTCTTCTACGCCACCTGAATCTTGCCCTGAGCAGCAATACCAACGAATTCATGGCCTTTCGCGATGCACCTCTGTTGCGTACCGTCACCCTCAACTACGGCTATGCCTCAATGGCTAACATCATATTACCTTGGGCACAGTTGACATCACTCACCCTGGACCGTGTTTTACCCCAGCAATGCTACCCAGTTCTGCAGCGGACACCGAACCTCGTGCACTTGAGCTGCATTCTGTCATCAAGAGATGCTCCCAATGATAGCACGTATCGCGGCCCAGATATCGAGCTCCCATACTTGGAGTCAATGGAATTGGACTTGGGGTTTAACCGCCTGTTTACTGGGTTTTGTCTGGAAGATCTCGTCTTCCCGGTCCTCTGCCGCCTGCAACTTCCAGAATCTTTCCTCGGACCCGACCCCATCGCAAAACTTAGATTGCTTATATCAAGATCCGGCTGTGTACTTCAGGAAGTGTGGATCATCGACAGGAGATTGGTACAGATGCCCTCGTATCGTGAAGCATTCCCATCGATTCAGATGTCGTTTCCGAACCATAGCCCCTTCAATGTGGATGGAGGGACCGACGAATAGCCGGAGGCGGAAGTGAAATCGGGCGTCGGTGGAGCTTGTGATTCCTACCGTGAGTACCCCCTCTTCTCGTCATTTATTTTGGCGCCGACCGCTTTGACGGCAGTCTCTAGGATGCCATGTTGATACATCTCATCAAGCCTGTAACGGACCTCCCGATGTATAATCGCTTAGATCAATTGTTTACCCCTCGCTTGGCCACGGTCGTTGCGTTTTGCTTCCATTATGTCGAGTCTGAGAAGAAATTTGAGGTGGGGACCAAAGAAAATTGAGAACTCATTCAAGTTGAATGAACTCCGACACTCTTCGACGTACACACACACATGAGTCCGCGCACTCACCAAAGCTTAAATCACAATGGGAAAGCCTCGGTGGCGTCCACAGATGAGCTGCCTTCCATCTTCTGTATTGGAGAGTGTTTAAGCCGCTGCCTGTTCGCATCAGGTCCGGGGCATATATTTCCGGCCAATACTCGCTTTTTCGAACGGCGTGTGTTCGACGTGGGAGAACCAAGAGGGTAAGATTGCGATTTATTTTGGATTTCAGTTCTATATTCACTGTACAGAGCCGGAGTTCGCCGCTGATTCTTTTCAACAACCCCGAGATGCCCGAGACTGATCCCGGGTGGTAGAAAATTTACCTCGGTGATGAATCCAGTTCGAGGATGAGGCTCCTGCTCATGGTTTCCTTTTAAGACTCCAAAGGTGCAGCATTTGTTCAGCTTGAAGGCAATATGAGAAAGCCTCGGTGGTGGGTAGTCCACATCTACGATTCGTGCTATGTAAGTAGGGGAAAGATTACAGCAGACGCCGCCTGTTCGAGTCAGGGCCGAGGCATGTCACGCTGTCCTGCAATCACATTTTTTGACCAGCGGACACTGTCAGTGAAAGCACTGATTCGCCGTCTCAACCGCACTTCGATTAGGCTCTCCGTTTCCAACAGTTGAATTAAATGACCCACGAGAAGTTCCTTCAATGTTCGATGCATGTTACTTCGGTTTATAAGTATCAACGCGGGTCTAAGTTGCGAGTTCGAACGCGCAGCAGTTATTGAGCTTGAAAGGAGGATGAGAAAGCCTCGGTGGTGGGTGGCCCACATCTGCATTTCCTCCTGCAGGCGCAACAACATTAAACAGACATCGCCTGTTCGAATCCGGCCCGAGGCATTGCCGTCTTCAACTTGAATCTCTTTTTTGACCAGCGGTACCCAGTCGCCGTCTCGAACAGGCTCCGGACAGGCTCTCCGTTTCCGACAGTTGAATGACCCACGAGTTCCTTCGAAGTCACTTCGGTTTATATCAACGCGGGTCTAAGGTTCAAACCTGCATGGAGCATTGAACTTGAAGGGAGGATGAGAAAGCCTCGGTGGTGGGTGGTCCACATCTGCGTTTGGTTATCGTCTGCACTCACGGTTTGAAGCACTTAGCAGACATCGCCTGTTCGAATCAGGCCCGAGGCATGCTGAGGCTACTGCTAGACTGTTCTTTTCTCAAAAATGGGCGTGGGGATTGAAATGCCAGGCGTGGGGAGGGTCAGAAGAGTGTCTCATCCTCGAGAACTTGGTTACAGTCTCGACCAGACTTCTAGCCGGCTCTGTGTTTCAATTCGTCCAACGGCCCATGCTGAGGCCCTCCAAGATTCGATGCGTTGGATTTATATGAACGCGGCGCTTGGTCCAAACATGTCGCATATATTGAGCTTGAGGGGAGGATGAGAAAGCTTCGGTGGTGGGTAGCCCATATCTGTGTTCGGTAGAAACGAGGAACCAGTGAAGCAGAAGCCACCTGTTCAAATCAGGCCCGAGGCATAAGCCGCTGAGTCGTACGATCTTTTTCGAACTTTTTGTGTGCCGCCTGATCCTTCAAGTGGAGAAATCAGTTATTGTCTCGACTAGACTTCCCGACGGCGCTATGTTTTGAATTCATCCAATGTTCAACTTGAGTTTGATGCATTCCTTCGATCTATGTCAGGCTGGCCAAAGCGCGGGGTTCAAACATGCAGCATAGTTTATTGGGCCCAAAGGGAGCAATGGCCATTTTCAGCACTATTTTTGGACCAGCGGTACCGAGTCACCGTCTCAATTGAATTTGACGCGCGGGTTCTACGTTTTTATTTGGCCAGAGGAATTCTTGAATTGGCATTCCAGGCGCGCCTCTTCGGATGGTCCAGATGTCCAGTATTTTATTGAACTTGACGGGGGTACGAGAAAGCCTCGGTGGTGGGTGGTCCACAGCTGCGTTTCATAGGCCGGGTTCAGGAAAGTCAAAGTGAAGCAGACATCGCCTGTTCGAATCAGGCTCGAGGCGTCCCTGAGGTTCAACATCTTTTTTTGCTCAGCGGACACGGTCAGTGAAAAGATCAATTGGCCGTCTCGACTAGACTTCGAGCTTCGTCTAACGGCCCACGAGTCCTCCAAGGTCACGTTCGATGCGTTGGATTTTTATCAGCGCGGCGCTTGGTCCAAAGATACAGCATAATTTATTGAACCTGAAGATGGGTGTGGGGAGTGTCAGAAGAGTGTCTCGTCCTTGAGAACTCGGCTAGTACTCGACCAGACGTCCCGCAGGCTGTACGTTTCGTCTTCGTCCAACTGCCCAGGAGGTCTCCAAGGTTGACGTGTTGGATTTTTGTCAGCGCGGCTGTGGATGCGGATAGTCCAAACATACATCATTTATTGAGCCCAAAGGGAGTATGAAAGCCTCGGTGGTGGGTGGCCCACATCTGCGTTTCATAGCCTGAGGAAAGTCAAAGTGAAGCAGACATCGCCTGTTCAAATCAGGCCCGAAGCATAAGTCGCATGGTCTAGTCTTTTTTCAAGACTGTGTGCGCAGTGCATAGTGCCTAGTCTTTGATTACACGAACTCGGCAGATTTCAGCGCGACGCTTGTGGGATGGTCCAAACACGCAGCATTTATTGAGCTTAAAAGGAAGGATGAGAAAGCCTCGGTGGTGGGTGGTCCACATCTGCAATCTATCGAAGAATTTTGTGCTCGTTAGGCAGACATCGCCTGTTCGAATCAGGGCCGAGACATATTGGGCTTCTCTCTGCTTTTTTAACCAGCGCGGTACCCAGTCGCCGTCTCGACCAAACTTCGAACAGACTCTCCGCTTGAATTTGTCCAATGGAATCCTTGTGTTGGCAAACCCCGTGCGGCTCTTCGGGATCGTCCAAACGTGCAGCATTTACAAGTTCAGCTGGAAGGGAGGACGAGAAAGCCTCGGTGGTGGGTGGTCCACATCTGCGATTCGTTGTCCGTCCTTGTGGTTTGAAGCAGACACCGCCTGTTCGAATCAGGCCTGAGGCATGAATGCATTTCGTGAAATCTTTTTTGAAACTATGAGCGTTGAGAGCCTCGTTCAATCAGCTACCGTCTCGACCAGACTTTTAGCAGACTCTACGTTTCGTCTTCGTGCAACGGCCCATGCTGTGAGGCTCCAAGGTTGACGTGTTGGATTTTTATCAGCGCGGCGCTTGGTCCAAACGTGCAGCATTTATTGAGCTTGACGGGAGGGTGAGAAAGCCTGGGTGATGGGTGGCCCACATCTGCGTTTCATAGTCTGGCGGCAGGTCAAAGTGAAGCAGCCATTGCCTGTTCGAATCAGGCCCGAGGCATTGCTCAGTCCTGAGTTCTTTTTTTTTACCAGCGCCGGTGGAGAAAAAGGCCGATGGCAGGCGCAAAGAGAGTCGGGCCAACGTTGGAGCCACGCTGCGTGCGGAAGCCCAGCGTGTTTCACTTGAAGAGACGTTGGGCGGAAGTTGAGCGGAAGCAAGACGCGCGCCTAATTAAAGCCGCACAGCCACTGATGCGCCTTATCTTCTCTTCCGCCACACTCAACCAACAAACTACGTACTAACCCCTAACTCGAATGGCAGACGCCTCGGACGCACAAACACAGGCGACGCTGTCGTCGTTGTACCACGTCCAGTCTATCCACAACGTCCATCCGCCCACGACGCCTGAGCGGCTTAGTACGGCGGTCAGCAGCTTCCTTAGGGCGCGGGGGGAGGTGGGTGTTTTGTTTGTGATGAGGAGGGGGCTGATTTGCTAGTAGACTGTCGACCGAGTCTCGAAGCCGATTGTCAGAGCGCCGGAGCTCGACGACTCGCACCCTCTAACGCACTACTTCATCTCCTCCTCGCACAACACCTACCTCCTCTCGCGGCAACTCCTCGGGCACACCTCCGCCGCCTCCTACACGCACGTCCTCACCGCGCCCACCCCCGCGCGCTGCGTCGAGATCGACGTCTGGCCGTCCAAGGCCGGGCTCGTCGTCACGCACGGCTACACCCTCAGCACCAAGATCCCGCTGCAGGCCGTCGCGCTCGCCATCGCCGACAGCGTCAAGGCGGGCGAGTGGCCCGTGATGGTGAGCCTGGAGTGCCACGTCGACCCTGCGGGGCAGCGCGAGCTCGTTAATGTGCTGCGCGCGGCGTGGGGGGAGAAGCTCGTTGATAAGAGGCTGGAGGGCGTGGATGATGATAATGTGTGTCCGAGGGATTTTAGGGGGAGGATTTTGTTGATGGTTGGTGTCGTCCCTACTCCCTTCCTGCCTTCCTCCTCTGCTTGTTCTCTAATATAATTTAAAGGTGGAATACTACGCCGCGCCCTCCAACGTCGCCGGCACCGGTACCGCCGCAGAAGCCAACGCCTCTTCCTCCTCCTCCTCCTCTTCATCCTCCTCGTCTGACGAAGACGAAGAAGACGGCGACACCGAGATCCGTGTCGGCAAGACCGAAAAGGCCAAGATCAGCGACGAGCTCGCCGCGCTCGGGTTCTATGCACGGAGTATGAAGCCCGCGCGGGGGTGGTGGAGGGAGAGTGCGTGTTTTTCTTCCGCGTCGTTTTTCTCCGGAGCTGGATTGTTTCTCCTTCGTCCATCTCGGCTTGTCCTCAATTATCACATCCCCAATCATCTCATTCCATTCCGTTCCGTCGTCCCCATTCCCCATTCCTCGTTCCCCCCACATCGCATCGCGTCGCTTTCGGTTCCCCGCTCGACCTCGCTTTCGCCTTTGCGCTTCCCCACGCGCTTTTGATGCCGATGCTGCGAGGGATGGCGTGGCACGGCAGCTGCGGAAGGTTGTCGCGCGAGAGCGATGAGGGAGGTCTTCCGAGGAGGGCGGAGACAGGCTATGAACGGGGCGGGGTGCGGTCCCTCGAGCGCGGGGGGCGACGATCGCTCTTGTGACGATCCTCCTTGCGACAGACTGCGATATTTCTGCATTCTTCTTGCGGTGCGGTGCGGTGCCGGTTGCGCACCACGGATAGATGAGGGAGGAGGGTCGTTCGAATGGTATGTCCCCGTCCTGGGATGATGCAGCCGGGCGCGCGCGAGGCGGATGGATTCTCTATGTGTTATCCCGCGGGACGTGCAACGTGGGCGGGTCGTAGACGGACAGACGCTGGTGCGACATCGACGGGATATGATGTGCCCTCCGCCAGTCCGCGACGGCATGCAGCGCGAACAGCGAGAACAGCGAGAGTCCTCGGCGCTTCTTCTGCTTCTGCTTCTTCTGCTTCTTCTCTTTTCCTTTCTTCGAGCTTTGCTTTTTCCTTTTCCCTTTTCCCTTCACCCTTCTTCATAATCATTCTCAGCTGCTTAAATACAATCCCATGACATACTCCGCCTCTACCTATCCTCTTTTTATCCTCTCGCTCCTCTTTTTGTCATCTCGCTCCTCTTTTATTCCCCTCCCTCCTTCTATTCCGCTATCCCATCCAATCTCTATCTCTATCCCTCGACACACAATTCACACAACTCACATACTGACATCGCGTTCACAGAAATCCCCGAACCGCTGCACGTCATGATCAACATCTCCGAGTCTGCGTCGCTCAAGCTGATGAAGCGCGCCGTGGCTGCTTCGTCTGCGTCTGAGGTTGAGGTGCGTGTTTTCCCTTTTCCTTCATTCGTTTCCGTTTATTTCCTCTGTACTCTGTACTCAACCGTTCACAGTCTTCCTCCGCAAACGCTGAACTGCAAGGCGACAACGTGGCGGAAGCCAAGACCGGAGCAGGAGGGAACGCCGCCCCAACCAAAAACGAATCAATCCAATCCCTCCTAACCTCCCACGCCCTCGCGCACCTGCGGCGCGTCTTCCCGCGCGGGACGCGCATCCGCTCGGGCAACCTCGACCCGCTGGGGGTGTGGCGCGCGGGGGGGCATGTGGCGGCGTTGAATTGGCAGGTGCGGGTTTTTCTTTGATTGAGTTTGAGTTTGAGGGGAGGGGGGAGGAAGGGCGGAGGGAGAGCGGGGGAGGGTGGGGAGGGTGGGGGCAAGGCAGCGCTCATACGTGGCGTGGCGCAGCTCGTACGCATCGCGGGGGCCCCCATACGCATACGTGGCGCGGACATCGCGTCCCGGGTACACTTGCGCACAACGACTCGTCGGGTGCCGTGGCATCGCTGGTGTCCTCGTCTCGGTGCCGTGGCTCATACGCATACGCGGCTTGCATCG